ACTTGACGACATGGCAAGGGGGAAGGGTAAGCTGGGACGAAGTGAGAGAGTGGCATGGACATATATACACTACCAAATATAAAATAGATAGCTGTAGGAAGCAGCTGCATCGCACAGGGAGATCAGCTCCCTGCTTCGTGACCACCTAAAGGGATGGGATAGGGAGGGTGGGAGGGAGACGCAAGAGGGAGGGGATATGGGGATATATGTATGCATATAGCTGATTCACGTTGTTATACAGCAGAAACTAACACAACATTGTAAAGCAATTATACTCCAATAAAGATGTTTAAAAAAAAAGATTTTAAGCAGACTTATAAAAGTATAAAATATGACCTTACCTTTTGGAAAGTCAGTGAACTTTTTCTGCTCATTTCTCTTGGGTTGTTTGATATTTTAAATTTCAAAAGTATATTTAGTTCCATGATGATTTTTTAAAATAGGAAAAGTTTTATCTGGGATACCACACTTAGATAAAAATTCTAGAAATGTTTTTCCATTTCAAAATAGTGTAGAGTAGAATTAATTTGTCTACTGTTTAGAAATGTGTTAAATAAATATGGTATGAATTTGAATATTTTCTACTTACTACTGTATTTTAGTGGGTAAATCATTTTTGAAATGACTTATGATTTGAAATCACGGATTTATAAAATTAAAATATTTTATAGTGGGGGGTTTGAAACTTTGAGAATACTGTTATTATTTAATAGAGGAAAAGTAAAAATAGAAACAAAAGAGTATCACTCTGACAAGTTTATTATACTTAACAGATTTGATATCTGTAGGTTCTGTTTACAACTAGAAACACTACTGGTATTGAATTCAGCAAAGATTTTGTTTTTTAATTTATTTATTTTAGGCTGCATTGGGTCTTCCTTGTTGCACGCGGGCTTTCTCTAGTTGCGGCTACTCTTCATTGCAGTGCGCAGGCTTCTCATTGCAGTGGCTTCTCTTGTTGTGGAGCATGGGCTCTAGGCACTCGGGCTTCAGTAATTGTGGCACTCGGGCTCTAGAGCGCAGGCTCAGTAGTTGTGGCGCACGGGCTTAGTTGCTCCGCGGCACGTGGGATCTTCCCGGACCAAGGCTCAAACCTGTGTCCCCTGCATTGGCAGGTGGATTCTTAACCACTGCGCCACCAGGGAAGCCCCTCAGCAAAGATTTTTGAATGGATCCCATGAGCTGCATACAGTGTGAGTCTCTCAACAATGTAAAACAGCCCCCCTCACACTGATAAAGTCCACTGTTTTATTGGGGAAAATGAAATGTAATCTGCCAAGTACAATACGACGTGATAAGTATGCAGAAGGTACAGAAGTGGTACAAATAAAGACTTAGTTAATTATGGCTTGAGAAGAGGCCTCTGTCATAACAAGCTTCACAGAGGAATGTTTCTTGAGTTGGGCTTTGAAGGAAGAATGACGGTTTGACAGGTGGATCAGAGAGCAAGGGCTTTCTAGGAGAGAAAACATCATGCCTAATGGGATCAGATATTAGAACGTTATTTTGAGAATTGCAGTTAACTTAGTAGAAGTAGGGCATAGGTTGTCTGAGAGGAAGTGGAGAGAGAAGTTGGGAGAGGTTTGCAGAATTCAGATCATGAAGCATCTACGAGGTATGCGTGACAACCTGAAGCTTTTGTGAGCCTCCCAGAAGTCTAAGTAACAGGATCTGGTTTACATTTAGAGATTTAACTCTGATGTCAATCGAGGGACTAGATTGTAGCAAGGAAAGACTGCAAGTCAGAAGATGAATCAGAAGCCTATTGTCACCCATTTGAAAGAGAGCAAGGACTTGAACCGAGGTAGTGCCAGTGGAGGAGGTTTCAAGGGGAAGGGTCAAAGTTAACACAAACAGAACATAGTGAGAGAGAGGGAGGAGTCAGGGGCACCTTTGAGGTTTTGGCTTAAGTGATGGAGGTGCCCTCATTCAGTAAAACATAAACAGGAACAAGAGTAGGGGTGTGGGTGAAGGTGCATGAAGTGTGGACATGCTGTATTTCAGGGGCTTGCGAGAAACCCAGGTAGAACAATTTAATAGGACATATGAGTCTGGGACTCAGGCGTGAATTCTGGGTTGAGCACATTCATTTGAGGGTGACTGTCACATTAGGTGATAGGCGATGTTATGGCAATGGTTGTGATAGAATTCACAGAGTATGTAACGTAAGGATAACAGAAGACTAAGGTGAAAATCTAGGGAATAATAACTCATTTCTAAGGTGCAAAGAAAGAAGAAGGTATGAAAGACAGATGAATAGGCAACATTTAAGATGAACTAACAAAAATAACAACAACAAACAGAAGAGCCTGATGTCCCTGAGGCCAAAGGAGAGATGGAGTTGTCAGAATCCAAAGCCAAAGAGAAGCCAAGTTTGATAACAAGTGAAAAGTATCAGTTCAGGGACATCCCTGGTGGTCCAGTGGGTAAGACTGCACGCTTCCAATGCAGGGGGCGCGGGTTCGATCCCTGGTCGGGGAACTAAGATTCCACGTGCCATGTGGCACAGCCAAAAAAGAAAAAAGTATCAGTTCAGTTGTCAAGGAGGGGAATCTTTCTTAACATCTGGCAAGAGTGTCAGTGTGATGGTGGGGGATAGAATTCACGTTCAACGTTGAAAGGAAAACCTTTCTGACCATTGTCTCATGTCCTTTTGATATCTATTTGGTCTTCTTACAGTTTGAAATTTTTGATGAAAACAGAGCCTAGTTAAATCAGATTTATCACATTATGGTGAGAATAATGATAAAAATGGTTTATTTGTAAAATGTTTTCTTATGTGTTGGTTTTAATTTGATGGAAGTAGTACTAAAATATATCTTCCAAATAGGAGCTGGTCAAACATACCACTGATCCTATGGAGAAGGCAAATTTGAAACTGGCTCTTGATGCGATGAAGGTTAGACGAATGCAGCATTAACTTGTTTGTATTTCTAATTCTTGCCTAAAAACAATAGAATGTAAACTGTTAATACATATGTATGATACGCTAATAGATGTTACTATAAGTATTTGCATAGGTTTGTTTTTGGAGGGGAGAGCTGGATATTTTTAACTGAAATCAGTATCCTTGCATGGATTTAATTGTTGGACAAAAGCATAAAACCAAGAGGTATATTAAAATAACTTTCAGTATTTATGAAAGTATGACAATTTCCATAACTACCAGGAATGATTTAATAGAATGGTTTTGTTTCACATTCTTTTTATGGTTGCTAGTAGAAACCTATTGGCTTGTGCAAGCAGCAGTTTAGCTGATGACTTCAGAACACTGGTGTGACTTATTTTTCTCAAGTGAGGATGTCAGCCAGGTTTACCTTTTTGGATGCTGTGCACCAGTACAAGTGATCAGTCTGGGTTTCTATTTCAGGTAAATCTGAAAATCAAGCACTAGAAGTAGGTGAAGGCAGGCTTTTTGAACATATTGGGGAATCTGTAAAACCCCGATTTCCACGCTATGCCGGACTTTTTGAAAGAAATAATATTTGTCCCTAGCTTAAAACATACACAAATATTTGTTGTCAAAACAAAATGCCAATGTGACTCTGCCCAGAGCAGTGCATAATTACTTCTCTGTGTCCTTGTGCCAGTTTCAGTGTTAGCTCTGTGTTTAGCTGGCTTTAGTACCCTGTCAGGAAACAGCCCATCATTATTTATCATTATAAAAAAAAATCATATCAAGTTTCCAATCTTTTTAAAGAAATCGTTTATAGATATATCCTATGAAAAGTCGGGCTTTCATTTAGAACAAAGTTAGGAACTGCTTTTGCCTGAGTTCTGTTCCTGCTGTTGCAGATAAATATAAGAGGGTAGGGAAAAAAGAAAACCCAGAAAACAGGAAAAATCTGGAGCACGTATCATAAAAATAGCTAGTTACAGTATGGAAAGATTAGCTAATGTTTCCTCAAATTTGAGAAAAGACATTTTAAAATAGGTGAAGGCACATGGAGAAACAGGGCCAGCATTGTTTGTGCCCTTTAGTTCATTTTCACGCTCCCTGGTTTCTCTCCTCTCCTTCACTTCCCTTTATTAACTCTTTGAAATTGACCTGGCTTCCCTGACTGAACCCTCTCAGGAACCGAGATGCTTAACTGGATGCAGACAACAGCCCTGCTAGATTCATTGTCTAACTTTTAGTTACTTTTTTCTCCCGGCTAATCCTTCATGATTGCCCTTATTCTAACCCAAGTTCAAGTGTGATTCTCTCAAGGTCAGTGTTTAGAATTTACACGCTCCCGACCTGGTTTCCTTTTTGTTGCTCTGCATGGCAGCATATTTTGTTTGTTTCTGTGTTTGATCCTTACTCTTCTCAGGGGTGTGGTAAATGACAAGGCTTCAGTCTTCCCAGCTGTACTCCAGACAGTTTTAAATTGCTTTTGAGATGCAGCTTCGATTAGGTATTCATTTTATTGTCATTGAAAAGTTATAGTGGTAACTTTCGACTATTAATGAAATTAATGATGTTTTCTTTCAAACAGTGCTCATCTCTTGTCTAATCTTATCTTGCCTTCTTTTTCTCCCCTTCTCTTTATTCTTTAGGACTTGGCACAATATGTGAATGAAGTGAAAAGAGATAATGAGACCCTTCGTGAAATTAAACAATTTCAGCTATCTATAGAAAATTTGGTATGTAATTATCATTCCATCCAGCTCCCCTAACCCACAAATTGGGGGATGTTCTAGCAGTTGTTTTTGAAAAAAAAATAGTTTACCTTCAAGTTTCTGTTGTTCTAGGTTTTTTCCGACTTCTGTTTGGCAGCATCCACGGGGATGAACATTCAGTGGCACCTGTGATACATCATCGTCCAGGGACTTTCTGCCATTGCTTGTCCCTGTCACTTTAATCACACTGTGATGCCTCTCCCTGCAGCAGTCCCATATTTTTTTTTCTTTTCCTTCCCTCACCCCCATACGTAACCATGGTGGAGTCCCGTTAATTTATTCATTTTATGTATATTTACTGGGTGACTGCTGTGTGCCAGACGTTTTGCTTGGGGCCGGGGCTGTAACTATGAACAACATGTTCTCATGGTTGAGGAGACAGTAAAAAGAGTCTAAAAATGTTCTCTCTATTGAGATGAATGCTGTGAACAGGTTGCTGCAACAGAGGATAGTGAGGGGAGTCCTAGTTTAGATAAGGTGCTCAGAAAAAGTCCTTCTGAGACATTTGTCACCTGAACCTGAAGGATGAGAAGAAGCCAGTGGCACAAAGGTCTGCAGAGAGAAGATTCCCGGCAGAAGCCATAGCAAGTGAGATGCCCTGAAATGGGAAAGAGCCAGGGCTGTTCAAGGAGCAGCAAGACAAGAGAGGCTGGAAATTGAGAGTGAAAGGAAGAAGGGTGGGCTCTGAAGTGGGGGAGTGGGGGCAGGAGAACTACACACCACAGCCTTGGAGGGCAAGGTGCTGAGTTGGGATTTTGTAGTGATTGCAGTAGGAAGCTAGTGAACGGTTCTTACCAGAGGGTTTCACAGTCTGATTTAAGTGTCATGAAAACCTTTTCATCAGGCAGACCAGTCAGAAAATCATTGAGGTCGTTTCAAGAGAGATGATGGAGGCTTGGATAAAGCTGTGGGGAGAGAAAACAGATAAATGAATAGATTTAAGATGCTTTTCTTGGTAGAGCAATTTTATTGCTTCTTCCTCTGAAACGTCTTTGGTCTGTCTTTCTTTCCACACATACAGCTACTTCCCCTTTTCAGGACCTCATCTGCCACCTTTCCAATCACAGTAGCCTCTGGTTACCTCTTCACATAGTTGCGTTTATAGTTCTGCCTTTGATTATAATCTTGTCAAAGCCTAGAATATCTTTTTTCATTATTTCCTATCAAATTTCTTCAAGGTCCAATTTAAAAAAAATTCTTTCCCTCATCTGAAAGGATCCCTAATTCCTTCTCTTTGTAATTCCATAGCACATTGCCTGGACAGCTGTATTTTTTTTATATTGTGGTAAAATATATATAAAACATTAAATTTGCCATTTTTAAGTGTACAGTTTTGTGATGTTAGATACATTCATATTGTGCAGCTGTCACCACCATCCATCTCCAGAACTCTTTTCATCTTGCAAGACTGAAGCTCTCCACCTACTAAACACTAACTCTTCATTCCCCCTTCCTCCCAGCCCCTGGCAACCACCGTTCTACTTTCTGTCTTTATGAATTATTGGATATCAATACTTACCACATTTTTGTTTGCAAATATTTTCTACCATTCTGTGAGTTGCCTTTTCACTCTGTTAATAGTGTTATTTGTGCAAAATTCTAAATTTTGATGAAGTCCACCTTATCGATCTTTTCTTTTGTTGCCTGTGCTTTTGGTGTCCTATCTAAAAAATCATTACTGAATCCAATGTCATAAACCTTTTCCCCTATGTTTTCTTCTGAAAGTTTTGTAGTTTTAACTCTTTGATCCATTTTGAGTTAATTTTTGGAAACAGTATAAGGTAAGGGTCCAACTTCATTCTTCTGCCTGTGCATATCCAGTTTCCCCAGCACCCTTTGTTAAAAAGGCTCTCCTATCCCCCACTGAATTGGTCTTGGCACTCTTGTCAAAAATCATTTGACCATATATGTGAAGGCTTATTTCTGGATGTTCTGTTGTATTACATTGGTTTAGATGTCTGTGTTTATGCCATTTCTACACTGTTTGGATTACCATAGTTTTGTAATAAGTTTTGAAATCAGGAAGTGTGAGATCCCAGCTCTGTTCTTTTTTATGATCGTTTTACCTATTAAGGGTCCCTTGCAATTCCATATGGGTTTTAGGATGGCGTTTTCTGTTTCTGCAAAAAATACAGATAAGAAACATTTATTTTTATACTTTCTTGTAGTACAGTTAATTCATTACATATCTTGTTTTATTAGAACGTAATTTCATAGATGTTAGTGATATTTTCAGTCAGTTCCTTTTCCTTTAGCACCTTGTAGAGTAGGTGTTCATAAATACTTAAAACTTTTTATTTTCTGTCTCTGGGGAAATGACTCATTATTTTTAATCATCCAGTCAGAAATTTTCATTCTTAAGATCTTAGCTCAGGGAAGCCATCCTTGACTCCCTAGACCAAATTAGGTCCCCCAGATACGCATGCTTCCTCTGCTCTTCCATCACGGCAACCACGTGGTTGTAATTATATTCTTCTGTGACTATTTGTTCCCCCCACTGAGCAGTATGTTTCATGAGGGCAGAGTCTATGTCATTTTGTCCTGTGCCTAGTGGCTAGCACACAGTGGATGCTCAGTAAATATTAGTTGTTGTAACTTCCTCGTGATTTGCATTTTTCCAATTAATTCTCTCTTTTGGTAGCTAACTTCTCCGTTAGAGGTGTAAGTAAAATCAGTTAATGTCTTCAGTATGCCTCCTGGGATGACCAAGGACAGGCTGTTTTTAAAGTGTATCGTAGAGACCTGAGCTTTTTAGAATAAGTGTGTTAAAAGGTAAAATGATAAAAGTTGTGATGAGATAGTTGTGCCTAGCAAATATCCTCAGTAATGTTAATTTCTGTTTTTATGTGATTATGAAAAACTGAGATGCACATTTTATATTTTAGAACCAACCAGTTTTGCTTTTTGGACGACCTCAGGGAGATGGTGAAATTCGAATAACCACTCTAGACAAGCATACAAAACAAGAAAGGTGAGAAGGATCGGTACTTATTTTCAAAATAAGTTATTAGGATCAGGAGATTGCGAAAATCTTAAAAACAGTTCCTCCAGGACAAAGGAGTGAAATAAAGGAATAAAAACAAGGGGTCAGATCGATCTGTGGTTTTTTAATTTCTCGTATAGATATGTTAGGTATTCCCCTCTTTGTTCTGGTATCTGTTGATTTGCCTAAGTTTGAGTTCTTAAGAAGGAATAGACAAATATAGAATGTCAGCTAGAGTAAAAAAAGTACACATTAAGATGAGAGTAGCAATAAAGCAATAATAGACAACTACTATAAAAACACAATTGTTTAATTTAATTTTATTTTTTGGTATGCATTTTAAAAGAACTAAAAACGGTACAACATGTCCTAAGGAAGTCCAAGTGAAGGCCATTTAGTGAGATTTTCTCGAGGGAAATTTGTAGGTGCAGTCCTTAAAGATTAGTTGAGCTAATTATGTGGTAAACTGATTTATTTAGTTGAAATGGCCATTTTCTGGAAACTTTGGAAACTAGAAAGTCAACCAGTAGGGGGCAGCATCAGCTCTTGCTTCCACCTTGATACCCAGGCTCTAAAGGTAGCTCCCTGGAGACACACATCCTTTTAGCCTCTCCCGGAAAAAAGGCTTTGAAAGTGATGCAAGTAATAGAGCTACGTGAATGTCTCATTATTATTGTTTTAAAAAAATGTATGCATGTTAATCACTGAGAGTTTTCGAAAAGATACAAATATTGGTATTGGATGATAGAATTATAAGGTCTGTTTTATTCCCCCAATTACATTGCTTTTAGTAAGATAGAAGAGAAATATCAACATGTAAATTTAACCATAATTTCTCTAGCTTACACTTGGCTCAGGTACCACTCAATTTGTGTTTTAGGTTGTCCATTAAGTCACAAGGAGCAACATACAGGGTAAAAGCGCAGGTTCCACAGGTCGACCCAAGAGTGAATCCTGCTGTGCATCCCAGTGTAACCCTGGGAAAATTATCTAACTTCTCTGAGCCTCAGCTTCCTCCCAAGTAAAATGAATATGATAATAATACGTACCTCAGGAGATGGTCCTGGGGATTTAAATTGAGTCATCTTTGTGGAAGGGGTGAACGCTTCTCAAGACAATCTGTCTGTCTCCTAGTAACATCAGTAGAAGTTAACTGCTATTGTTGTCATTAACATTATTCCATCAATGTTTAGCTTTTAAACTGGAAGAAAGAAAGTACTAGCTCACGAACAACACTTTAGGGCTTCATTGTTCCTGACAGTAACTCTGCATTGTGCATATTGTTCTCATTATAATTTTGCCTATTTTTTAACTGTGAAAACTGAGGCACAGCAGGGTGATTCATTTAGTAAAGGGCAATTCCAGGACACACAGTTCATTCTTTCAATGTGCACACTACCTTTGTCTTTAACTCACTGGATAAATTAAATTTTATCTGAGAAGAATTAATACACATGCTTCCAAACCGTTTAAGTAAATCTCTCTCTCTCTCTCTCAGGCATATCTTCTTATTTGATTTGGCAGTGATTGTATGTAAAAGGAAAGGTGATAACTATGAAATGAAGGAAATAATAGATCTTCAGCAGTACAAAATAGCCAACAATCCTACAACTGATAAGGAAAATAAAAAGGTAAATTCTTGGAAATGAATAACTAATTTACTCATAACTTTGACTATTCAAGGAAAGTATGCTAATACATTAATGTGAGAGGCCGCTTATCCATCCAGGTGTTTTTGTTTCTAGAGATTAATTAGAAGCAAGCCTTTGTGAGAAATAATTGGACAGTGCCACAGGTGATAATGATCCCCTCTAATGGCCTAATGATCAAGGCAGCAAAATGCACTTGGCATAGCAATTGTTCTAGATATGAAGTTGACTACAGTAGTCTTGATTGTTCACAGTTTGTCTGATGATAATGTTATGGGTGGTTTGTGGATGATCATGGTGGTGTGTTAGTGAATTTGGAAACATGATGTTATTAATCAATGATACCTATTAACCTGAGGAATATTAATTTTAACAGTGGTCTTATGGCTTCTACCTCATCCATATCCAAGGACAAAATGGGTTAGAATTTTATTGCAAAACAAAAGATTTAAAGAAAAAGTGGCTGGAACAGTTTGAAATGGCTTTGTGAGTATTTCTACTTTTAAAAGTGCTTTTTTCTACTGCATCAGTTTCTTATGAACAATGAACTACCAATAAACATACTGTAATATTTGTAGCATGTGTACAGAGGCTGTGAAAACACTTTGCTCTGAGCATGAGTGCTATGCTACGAGGCTGTCAGCTTGATAACTTTGGTCTCCTGGGAGAGATGTTTTGGTGAATTTCTTCAAGAAAAAGAAAGAGGGAGCTCTAACCTTCTGTTTGACTTTCTTCTCATGGGCATATTTTAATTCTTTAGCTTTTAGCAGCCCCCGAAAATATTAATTATTCTAATGATAAACTTTTAATGTAATTGCCATGTTTTGTATATATCTTTAAATTAAGTAGAAATACTCCCAAACACATACACACACGTACATACATACATGCAAATATCTTATTTTTAATAGAAAGATTGATTTGTTCCTCCTGTTTGTTTTTAACTCATTTATTGTTTGAATTCTGGGTAAATTGCTTGACGTATTCAATGAATGCTTTCAGGGCTTGACTTCTCTCAGTGTTTTTTCCTTTTATTAAAGTGGAAACTCAACAAAGAGGTGAGAAATAAATCAGACATGTTCGAAAAGGAATGCATACAGAGACGTGATTACACAAGGACATGTCATTATAGGAGTTTCTTTTCAGTTTTGAGGTTCATGGATTAAAAAGTGTATAATGACCCTTGTTATGGAAACATATAGGTCACCCTGAAATTGAAACTGTTAGCAAAAGGTGAAATTAAGAAAGAACACTTCTGTGATTGCTTCATATGTATTCTAGCATTATTTACCTTTTGCAGACAAATTCTGTCAGAGTTTTTGTTTGCTTTCTCCTTTGCTTCGTTTTTGGAAATGCTCATGTTAATATAAAATGGAAATAGGATTAGAATATTTTATTGTAGTTCTGAGGGGAGAAAAATAGAGATTTTCCTTAGATTATTTTCTCTAGCACTTTGAGACATACGATTGTGCAGCTAAAATAGTTTTAAGCTCATAGACAATTCTGGGTTCAGCAATAACCCCTGCCATGGACTGGCTGCATAGTCTTAGCCAATTTGTTTAACCTCTCAGAGCCTCAGTTTCCTCCTCTAAAACAGGGATAATGATATTTTGAATTCCAGATATATGTGTCATGCAGAATGGTGGCCAGATAGTACAACAGCAATGATATGGTATAGAATTGTAAGAGGTGTCTGTTGTTATCACTATTATTAATATTGTTTTGTATTTAGGATCCTAATATACCTATAGGGACTTATAAATTCAGAGGACATCTTCCAGTATACTATTGGAGTTTTTAAAATTTATTGTTATTGATTATAATAATTAAAAGACCTTAGTAGTTGTATGCATCCATAAAATGGCTATTCTACAGGGACCTTTTTGGTTTGGGTCACAAGTGAGGAAGTCGGTGACCTCCGCCCACCCAGTCTCTGATGAATTGTGGGCTACATCATAAACCTAGTGTGCTGTTGTAGTGAGGTTTCAAGTGATAGGCAATATTTGGACTTGAGCAGTTGGGATTGGAGTGACAGGATGCTGGGGTTGCTGATAATATGCAAAGGCAGAGCTGATCTCACACCTTTGCTCTTGTGGGAAGGATGCCGGGCTGGTATTTTCTTACGGGTTCTGTTCATATGATCCTTACATGAGTGAAGGAATTTCTGCAGAGGAGGGAAGTTAAATTTGTTGTCCAGAGTAGGTGGGCTCCTTGGACTGTATTGATAGGCGCATCACTTAATATTCTGTTCACTTGCCATAAATCAAACAGCTAAACTCTGGATGCAAGAGACTCAACAAAATGCATGCTTATCTCTCTTTTTCATGGAAGAGAATCTGGGGTAGGTAGACAAGGGGTGGGTTGGGCTCTCTGGGGTATTGCCAGGAACCCAGGCTCAGATCTTCCTGCTCTGCCATTGTCAGCATGGCTTCTGTCCTCAAGGTTGGTCACATGTTGTCCGAGATAGCTGCTGGAGCTCTAGCTATATAATCTACATTCTAGGCAGCAGAAGGTGATCCTCATTTTTAAGGATTCTTTGCAGAAATGCTACAACTTCTGTTACATAATACTGACCAGAACTTAGTCATGTGGCCACATCTGACAAGGGAGCCAAGAAATGCCATCTTCATTCTGGGCAGGAATATGCTTGGCTACGAATCAAGGTTCTCCTATTATGGAAGAAAGGAGAAATGGGTAGCTGTATGCAGCTATCAGTCGCTGCCTTATAGGTATATACATAAGGGAAGAGTATGGGTAGCTTTAAATTGTTCCATCACAGGAAAGATGGCTGTACCACACACAGGGAAACTGGGTGGGGTTCTTCATCTTTGAGCCTTATCCAAGCACCTCAACAATGTAATTAAACATCCATTAAACTCTGTTTGTATTTTAGAGTTCCACTCACTTGCCCATGCAGATGGTGAGAGGGTGGAAGTACCCTTTTTTGAGAATTGCTCAAAGTCAAAGTTGAGGGCTTCTTTAAGCAGGGATTATGCCATGTATGGCATGTAAATTAAAATTAGGCAAAATAAAAGTCGGATTTTATTCGCGCATCAGAATATCCCATTATTTTATTTCCTCCTTTCTCTTTTGAAGCTTGTTACGCAGGAAAGTCCTGCTTCCAGCTTTGTGAGACAGGTCTTGCTTGTCTTGTGCTCAGGAAAGTAGAATAATCTAAGTCCTGAAGCTTAAGACTTTGCCTATGGCTCAAATTTTGCTATTTTATCCACTATTTAAAGTTCAAGTACTCTTAGTCTATAAGCCATAGAGAAAAAGAAGACTGAGAAATCCTGCAGCATTCATGACAATACATGATAAACAGTAAGCCTTGTGTCTCGCCACAGACCAGCTTCTTCCAGTCTCTTTGGCATTAACAGGGGCGCTGTAGGTCCCCCTAGAGCATTCTGGAGTGTCGCTTTAAGGACCTTTGAAAAGGAAAGGGAGGCATTGGTGGGAGGGGGGCAGGAAATCAAGGGAGGTGATATTTTAAGACTGACGAAATGCTTGCCAGTTCTATTTACAGAAGATGGCAATTCTGCTGTTTATAGGATGGTTGGATCATTTTTATTTTAAAAAGTTTGCAAATCACCTTTAAGGAGTTTAGAATACTGCTCTTAATTTAGACTGTTATAATGGACCATAGAAAAGCATGAATACCAATAAACAGTAAGTATCCGGTAAACTCAAATCTCCCCAGAGGTGACCTAAATCTCAGCCTCTGTCCTTCCCAAGCACACCCCCATCCCCACTCAGTAGCCCTATTCTCTGACCTTCGTTGGCCATAGCCACTTCCAGCATTATCTGCATTGGATCACATAAACTTGGCAAACCTCCGGAAGAAAGGCTTCACAGAGAGAAAAGCAGCAGTGACCCACTTGGATAGGGGAGGAAGAAGGATGTCTTCTTTTCTTTTTTCCCTGTGAGAAGAAGTGGTAGCAGGACTGATTGCTCTGAGGTTGTTTGAACAGTCTTTGAGCCAAATAATGTTCAAGAGCTATAGTTCTGGGGCTCCCACTCTAAATAATATATTTATATCTTTAAAAGCCTAATTGATACACATCATTTATTCTTATTTATTTTCAGAAGGGCTTTTTGTCCCTGTTTCCCACAATTCCATTTAGTTATCTGTGAAATAGGATGGCAAATGTTATTTTAGTAGCTTAGGCTAGTTTTCATAATGATGTTGGAAAGTGTGGATGTGAACGTTGCCCATAGCAATGTTCAAAATATTGTTAGGAAGCTATGGATGTGTTTCCCCCAAATCCCTTAAATCAAGTGTTTTTAATGTTTTCTCCTGTTAGATTTAAATTGATAAACACATCATACCCATTTTATAGCTCAGGAAACTAGCAATGGCAGGAGTATTTCAGCACATTTGTATGAGTTCAGTGCTGTAACATTTACAATAGAGTTCAGGATCTTAGTTCCCAGCAATTTTTTTAACCAGGAAGGTGCTAAAATAAGCACCTGGACTCAAACCCTGTTATCGAAAACTGAAATCAGGTTTCTTTTTTTCTTTTTTTCACTGTGACTAGGACCTGGAGGATCAGACAGTGTCCTCAAGTTTTCTAGAAATAAGTCAGAGTTGGGCAAAATAAAGAAATTGAGTAATAGAATAATAAGATTTTTAAAAGGAAAAGTTAGAGAAAGAAAAAGTAGAACAGGGGCAGAAAAGCATTGCGTATGGTAGCAAGTGGCAGGTTTTGAACCAGCCTCTGTAGTATTTATTGAAGGGAACTGAAAGGCCCTTTTGCCTGGAATTTCTTCTGACTGACTTCACCCAATTCTTGAAATTCTAACATTTTATATTTACTCCCTTGAATAAAGAAAGCCCCCTTGAAGATGCATATACCATTATTACCACACCAAGATTTCTTCACTGTGTGCCACACGCCAGGAACAGTGCCACATGGCTTACCTAAGGAAAAATAGCATAGAGACCATTAACGTCTGCTAAAATACGAGCCCAGCATATATTGTTAGCTGCTAAGACTAGTGGGAGTGGGGAGAAGACAAGGAAAAGGGGGTATGGAAATTCTAGAGCTGGGGAGGGGCTCTGGGACCAGGCTGCCTTGTCATCTGGAGGGGCAGCCCCTGAGCTTCGTTCCCTAGGATGAACCCCTGAAAAGAAGCGCTCTCCAAGTGGGGTGAGGCAGGGGCGGGAATGCAGCCATGAAACCTCACAAATCACGTTTCATCTGAGCCACAGTGTAGCTTTCTAATTTATTCCCCATTTACTTCCAGAAGGAATTTGAGGTCACTCACCATAGAAAGCACACATGCCACAGAATTAAAAAGAAAAATTTAAATAATCAGAGGTCAAACAGAACAATGTTTCAAAGCATTCTCCGCAGACTCAGGCTCCACTAGATAAGAACGTTTTCTTGAAATTCGCCTCCTGGAGTTTGAATATGAAAGCAAAGAGTATGTTTTTCACATTTAAAATATAAAATTATATTTTATCCAATATAATTTGTTTTAATCTA